AAAGCAAACAGAAGGTTGGAAGAAGGAAGAAGAGACAGCAGCATAAACTCCTGTGGGAATTATTGTGTTAGATGTAGGAGCAATTTGTGACCTGAAATAGCAGATGAACATATCACAGAGAACTGAGTGTGTTGGGGATTCTGAGATGCAGTCTAATAGATCACAACTTCTTACTTAACAGCTGTGTGGAAATCTAAAACTCAGACGTTCTGCCTATTAAAAACCCGTAACGTTTTCAAAAGAGGATTGATTATCAAAATTTTAAGTTGCCCAAAATATCAGAGGCAGCTAATAACTGTCATCATCTAGGGAGAATTCATAAAAAGAGGTAGTTTAGGTTTTGGTATGTTGCTTAGATATAGGTCATAGACAATTTGAGACAGATAATTTGTCAGATTAGCAACTCTTTTAGCAAGTAACTGTTTGCAGTAAAGCATTTCCATTGTCTGGCCTGCTCTGCACTTAGTACTCTAAGAATGTTCATGAATGTGAACTGTCAGCTCCAAGGTAAGTGTAGCTCAGTTCCAAGTTCTGGAATAGAGCAAGTTGCTTTTTAAGAAAGCCCAGAATGCATGAACATCTAGAAGTGCATATAGATTATAAGCCAACATGCCTATTTTCATTTTTTAGCATTGTCTCGTCTACTTTGCGAAGAATTTGCCAAGTAAGCATGAATAAGTGATTCAAGCTCTGCCTTTTGTTGGGTTATTTTGAGCACATAGCTTTCTTTCTCTGAATGGAGGTGATGAAACACAAATATAAGTGCAAAAAAAGAACACCAGCTATTTGGTAGAAAATATCACTTCTAATTTTTTGTCAAACCTAGCTTACCATAGGTTTGAGTTGCATTTGGAGGAGGTTGTCCTTAGAATTCACGACATGGCAATAACAGAAACTATGGTTAGCACATTTTAAATCGTTCTTGCTTGGAAGGGAACATAATGTGTCTGTCCTTTAATTTTATAACTTCTTGCATTTTTTTTAATAGTCCTTATTTCCTGAGCAATGTTGCTTCTTTTGTTATGCTTCTTTTTTTTTGTTCTGTTTTGTTTTTTCTTTTTACATATAATTATGTAATTGTGCTACAAATAGTTCCATAATGTATCTTGTCAATTGTTTTCGGTTCAGAAGAATTTACAAAGAGACTTAAAGGATCAGATAAACATGCTTCTCCTCCTTGAGAAGAAAACAAACCTTAGCAATCCCTCTTTATAGTTTAGGGAAAAAGACCCAATAAAACAATAAAAAAAAAACCCAAATCAAACCACTCACAAGGTAAAGCCCTGATTCTGACTGGGCAATAAGTGAGGTCATTTTAAGTAATGAATTGATTTAAATGTATATGATTTTCTGAGATTATGTCTTTTCCGAAGGGAAGATGATATTGTCTCTTAATTTGCATGTTCTAGTCTCTTTGTGTTTGTTAGATTTAGAAGCATCAGTTTAGATTGAATTATCATCTGCAATAGTTTTCAAGAGGGAAAAAAAAAATCTTATATATGATTCTCATCATTCTACCCCTGGAAAAGAGTATGTAAAGTAAGTGTCTTATTCCTTCATATTGAAGGGGAAAGAAAACTACCTAATACAGACTATTTTTTTTCTCACCTCTAAAATGATTAAGAAATTATTACTTACTAGTATGGAATTATTCCTTGGAGAAGACATATACTACAGACAATTATTTCTAAAATTATTTCTAGCCTATTTCATAGAATTATATAGAGGCACACCTACATATAGTTATGGATAATGTGCTTAATGTTTTCATATGCTGGGGGGAAAAATTTGTAAGAAACATTTGGAAGTTGTAAATAGAGTACTGTTCATGGGAAAAGTGGCATCATGAGTGGAGTAGGGGGTTGGGGAGCTACCAAAGTCTTGAAGTTAATGAAAAAAAAATTAGTTTAGGTGGAAGTAGTAAAAGAGAATCAACTCATGGGAATATGTTAGTGTTGAGGTTACCAGAGAAATTTATAGTAATTAAAAAAAATAATAATTGGGTCAAAACAAAGTCAGTGGTCAGAACAAAATGGTCAAAACAGAACCAAAGATGAATCCTTCAGTCAGGTAACAATAATCAAGAAGGAGAAGAATGACGATGGCTTGAGACAGAAGATAAACAGTCTTTTTAATCCTAGAAGAGGTGTAAACTGATAACAAAATTTCTCAAAACAGTCAGGGGAAAAAAATTTACAATTTAGTAATAAAAAGTGCTAATAGGAAGTCACAGAAACTTTGTAATACAATGACAGTCTCTGAAGAAGCTAATAGTGTTTGATTTTTCCTGTCCCCCTTGCAAAAGGCGTGATTTTCAATTAGTAGCTGTAATTTTATTTTATCTTTTACTATTACTCAGATTCAAAACTAACGAAACAAAAACCTTATATTTACTCACTCAGGAAAGAAAGACAAAAATAATTTCATTATGAACAGGGACTAAAGACTTTACAAAGTCTAGAGCCTATTTAAACAAACAAAAAAAAAGAACTTGCTTGAAGGCTATACTGAAGAGATAATCCTCTTTAAACAAGAAAGATTTGTAGTAATGTAGTTAATTCCAGGTTCCACATCAGTCTTTCCAGGCCCTTTTCTGTAGAATAATTGTGTTGGAACACCAATTTAGTTGATATTTTGGGACACTTTTCTTCTATTCCCATTCAATGCTGGGAATACAAGACACACAATAGCTGCAAGTGAAAAATGTGTCACAGTGGTGGAACAATAAATGTGTACAACTAGAGTCAAGTACAATAAATATTTTCAATTAGTCCCTATAATGATATCCCACATGATTTCCAGCATATAATGTATTTTTCAACTTATATCGTCACACTGCTAAAAGTGAGTAAAACTTACAGGAGGTTGTGGTTGTTGTTGAATTGCTCACCATTGCTTTCAAGGAAAAAAAGTCTTCGTAGCTTAAGACAACTTTGTGTATTTCTTGTCTATATAAATTTTCTGTGTCTCTTTTAGAGCAAGTACCTACAGGCATTAGTAAAAATGATCTGTCTCTGTAAGTTTACATTTTTATGCAGCTTTCCTTAACTGAATATAGAGGAGTATTGACCAAAAAAAATCAAGATGTACAGAATATGTGCGATTTTGAAATACAAAAATGTCTCAAATTGGAAAAAAAGTGGATTTTAGAACATAAATATGATTTTATGGAAGGCTGTACTTGTGCTAAGGGTTTTGACTTCAGAGTAATCATCAAAAGCAGCATAGGTTATGGTAAGTTACCTTCATGTCTTAATGCTAATTGGGCCCACTCAGGAAGACGTTTGGGGAAGAAAAATAACTTTTTTGACAGCAAGTTGAGTGAGATGATCCTTCCCATCTAATCAGCCCTATGAGGTCACATCTGGAGTACTGGTTTGAGTTCTGGGCTTCTCAGTGCAAAGGAGGAATAGACAGACTACGATGTCCAACAAAGAGCCACCAGAATGAGTGTCTCCTAAGAGGAATGGGTGAGAGATTTGGGACTGTTCAGCCTGGAGAAGAGAAGGCCCTGAGGGATCTTTTTAATGCACACAAGAATCCGTAGGTGCAAAGATGGAGGCAGGTGGTGGTTTCAGTGCCCAGTGACAGAAGAGGCAATGGGCACAGGCGGAAACACAGAACCTTCCCACAGTTTTTCACAGTGAGGATGATCCAGCTCTGGCACAGGTTGCCCAGAGAGGCTGTGGAGTCCTAACCCTTGGAGGTATTATAAAACCACCTAGAGGCAGTCTTGGGCAACCAGCTCCAGGTGTCCCTGCTTGAGCAGGGAGATTGGACAAGATGACTTCCAGCAGTACCTTCCTACCTAAACCATTCTGTGATTCTGTGAAACAACTTTAATTCAACAGAGAGTTCCTTGTTTCACTGTTGCTTCCTTACTTGCTCAGTGATGTGATCAGGTAACTGACTGAGCCTATACCTTTTGAAGAGAGTTTTAGAAAGTATCTAGATTCTGCTGGAAATGATTTGGGGATTCGCTGATTGTGCCCAGCTGGTGCTCTGAAAGAACTGACTCAGACTGCAATCTTGACTCGCTGGACATGTCCACCAGAAGGTACACCAGGTATATCAGTGAAACATGGACCCAGGCTCTTCTCAGTTGTATGTTGTAGCAGCATTGACTCTGGGCTTATTTAGCAGAGATGACCTGACAAACAGAAGGGCTGGGTAAGTTACACCCTCTTAACAGGGACAGCAGTGACCACATGATCTCTAGACATACTGACTCCCAAGACGTCCCTTGGGCTGCTCCGTTGTGCGTCATCTCTAGAGTAGGTCAGTGGCTGTAAAGCACATACTGATCTCCAGGGAGTTTACAGAAAGTCCTGATCCCTCCAACTGTCGAGAGCTCTCTTTAACTATCATCTCTGTATTCTTGAAGTCATCATCCTATATGCGTATTTTGACTCTTTTTCAGAAATAACTCATGTTCCTGTCACATCTTTATAAATAATTGTAACTTTAATAAATGGAAAGGGTAAGAAGGGATGAGAAAAAAAGTGGAAGGGAGTGAGCACTTGGCTTCAGTGGGCAAATAACATATAATTTCCAACAACTTAAGGATGAAGAGTTATCTTGCCTTTAAGACTTGTTCATTTATTTTAAAAATACAGTTCTCAAAAGTTAATTGGTGGTTTCCAGAGCTAAGTATAGAAAATTGCATGTCCTTTTAGACCTTGGCGACTAAGAGTGATCTCTTTAAATACATATAGTGTTCATGGAGTTTGTTAAAATATAATTTGTTCCATTGATACAATTTAAATCTCTTCAACATTGGTTAAACTTAAATATAACATTATGTTTTTATCGTGCAGATGTTATATTTCTTAAAATATGATAAGAACCAACAGAACACGATGCATCCTGTCAAGGTTGGGAATAGACTTAAAGAATTTGCAGTTTGTAAAGCATGTCCTTTTTTTGAAATGTCACTCCTGACCACCTTAGGTGTCTTTTATCAACGTAATTTTTTTTGCGTTTTTCTTTTTTTCCATCAGGTGCTTCATTCCAAATGCCTATGCTGCTCTCTTCACTGCTGCTCTGCTACCATTAATGTGCTTGGTTGTGGTTTTTGTGGTGTTCATCCATGCCTACCAGGTGACCCCACAATGGAAAGCGTACGACGATATTTTCAGAGGAAGAACAAATGCTGCAGGTATGATTCGTTGGCTGCCCCTACGCAAACAAGTTGCACTTTCAGAACGGTACAGGCTGTTCTTGACAGTTCAGAAAACCCCACCAGAAGCCACAGTTCAGCAGACTCCTACGTACTTATTTAAGATTAAGCACACCAGCGATCCCTTTGAAGTCTGTGAGAGTGCTTCAGTGATGAAAGCTATGCAGATGCTTAACTGTCTTAGGAGGATAAAAATGTGTTAAACCTAAAACAAGAAATTAGTACTGCTGGTTGTGTCTAGTCTAGTGAAGAGAATAGAGATAAAACACACCAACTCCCTGCTTGGAGCACTGTGACCCCGTTTTGGCGGTCGGTACCGAGCATCCCTGTCCATGCAGCAGTGAATTTTATGCCCCATGTGTGCGGGACAGTGAACCCATAGGATCACTGCAGGAATGTTGGAGCCCACATAGGAACACACTCTGTGCTCCCCTGCCCGTCCCCTGGTGATGGGCAGCATCTTTGCTGTCTGCACAGTCACTCACGCTGGCTGTGCATTGGAATCTTTGGAGTTAACGTCCCTGTTTTTGAAACTTCCGAGCCCTACTCGCAGCTGAAAATGTAGAGAGAAAAGATCCGTCTGTGCAAAACAGGAAGTATCGGTCCGTCTCCTCTGTTAGAACAGTTTCAGGTACAATAATGTTCCCAAAATAAAGTTGCAGAGGTTTAGACCACTACGATAGGACGCTCTGTGGGAGGCTTAGAATATTTCTTTTGTTTTCGTGGTGTTTTGAGGGGAAAAAAATAATCAGAGTTTTATAAGCAATTGCAAAAACATAGTTTTTAATAAAATTGCATATTAATTCTCCTCAACTGCATGAAGCCAGTTTGGTTTTATAAACTTGTGAAATTTCTTGAATCATTTTTCCCAATTCATTAAACAAATAGTATCTGAACTTAAAAGGAACAGTGGATTATTAACAAATTTCATTGAGTAGTCCAGTACTTGTAGCTGTTCAGATTTATAAAAAGTAGCTGTCTCGTTGAAATGTTCAAATTTGTAGTTATAATTATGTTATGAAATGAGAGGTTGTAGAAGTATACTACTTTTATGGGAAGATGAAAATAAATATCAAATATTTATTATGTGTACAGTGCTTCAAATAGCCATTTCTTTTCTAGTGACAAAATATCAGCTTGACTAAGAGCTATACGAATTTGGACGAGGCCTGCTAAACATGGCTTATGGTAGTCAAGACCTTAGCTGCACTTTACTCTTTCATTTCTTTCTGATATAAAAGGGACTGCCTGGAGCAATCACAAAGGGGGCTCCTTACTCAGTCTTGAATAATACAGTTTATTTACTTATAAGTAACTTTTTTTTAAGTATGTCTGAGGATCAAGATTCCATCTTCATATATTGAAGTTTAGGCTTATCTCAGGGCAATCAACCTAAATTAAAAAAAACCCTGAGCATTGAAATAATACCATGAAGTTAGCATTCACAGTGGCAGAAAGTGCCAATAGGAGAAAGTGCTAATAGGAGTTATATCAAGATGACATAAAGACATGAAATAATAGGGCTAAAGCAAAATTTTGTTTTATTTAATGTAGGATTCAAAGTGTTTTCATTCTCCAGCAGAGTCCAGAAAGTGGTGTACACAATGCTGGAGTCTCAGAAGAAAAAAAGTCAAGAAGAGAGGTGTTTGGTAAATTGTCAATAATGGCTTTTTTTTTTTTTTTTAAATAAAAAAGTAGATTGTATATTTCACTACTTGTGCACCTACACATCAAACTGCTTTTCAGTATATCTTTAAAAGCATAGCATACTCATAAAAAGCCAAAAATAATGAAAATATTCTACCACCATCTCAAGTTTCAGGAGAGAAATATTCAGTTATAAAGTCAGAGGCCTTTAGTTAACAGTTAGTACCATGTCAATGTAGTTATATCTGTAGTTACTATTTTTAAATTTTGAATCTTACCCTATGACCCCTTCTTTGGAGAAATTCACTCCACTGACTCTGTATCCTTACAGACTCAGCGGGACCCAGTCCTACTTCAGTGCTGTTATTGCAGCTACTTCCTCTGAGGTGGGAAAAACCATTTTTCATAATGGCAAAGTTGCCTGCAATCAGCTACGTGATGATATGTTGCTTCCACACCAGAGATCACGGGGGTCCTGAATCACACTCTCAGTAAGGTCCGGCTTCAGGGCCACCTACAAGGTCATATGGGGTAGGGAGGTGTTTCTAGCAATGTTTCCTCCTTTAAGTTGCGCAGGCATCCCATATTTTGCTCTTTTGCTGTGGCAATGCATATTCCACGGCTTCGTGTCTGTTTCATACAAAAAACAGGGGGAAGGTGGAGCTACCAAGTGACAGTTTTCTATGTTTAGTATCTTAGAATCATAGAATCATTCAGGATGGAAAAGAACCTTGGGATCATTGAGTCCGACCATTAACCCTACTCGACAAAGTTCACCCTTAAACCATATGCCCCAAGACCATATCTAAATGATGTTTAAACACATCCAGGGATGATGACTCAACCACCTCCCTGGGCAGCCTAGCCCAATGTCTGACCACTCCTGTGAATTTTTTTTCCTAATATCCAGCCCAAACCTCCTCTGTTGCAGTTTGAAGCCATCTCCTCCTGTTCTGTTGCTAATTACCTGTGAGAAGAGACTAGCAGCAACCTCTCTACACTGTCCTTTCAGGTAGTTGTAGAGAGTGATGAGGTCTCCCCTCAGCCTCCTCTTCTTCAAACTCAACAGCCTCAGCTCCTTCAATTGTTCTTCATAAGATTCATTCTCCAGGCCCTTGACCAGCCTCGCTGCCCTCCTCTGCTCTTGTTCCAGCACCTCCAGATCTTTCTTGTATTGAGGTGCCCAAAACTGGACACAACACCCAAGGTGTGGCCCCACCAGTGCTCAGTACAGGGGACAATCCCCTCCCTACTCCTGCTGGTCACACTGTTTCTAATACAAGCCAGAGTGCCATTGGCCTTTCTGCCCACCTGGGCACACTGCTGGCTCATCTTCAGCCTCTTGTTGATGAGAATCCCCAGGTCCCTCTCTGCCAGGCAGCTCTCCAGCCACACTGTCTCAAGCCTCTAGCACTGCAGGGGGTTGTCGTGGCCCAAGTGCAGGACCTGGCACTTGACCTTGTTGAAGCTCATCGAATTAACATTGGCCCATTGATCCAATCCATCCAAATCTGTCTGTAGAGTCTCCCTATCAACACTCCAGATCAACATTCCCATCTAACTTGGTGTCATCTGCAAACTTACTGATGATACACTCTATGTACTTATCAAGATCATCAATAAAGATGTTAAACAGAAATGGTCCCAACACTGAGCCCTGAGGAACATTACTTGTGACCGGTAGCCAGCTGGATGTAACTCCACTGACCACCATTCTTTGGGCCTGTCCATCCAGCCAGTGCTTTGTCCAGCAGATCAGATGCTCATCCAAGCCATGAGCAGCCAGTTTTTCCCTAAGAATTCTGTGTGGAACAGTGTCAAAGGCTTTTTGAAAGTCTAGGTAGACCATATCCACAGCCTTTCCCTCATCTGGTAGTTGGGTCATCTTGTCTTAGAATGAGATCAGGTTCATCAGGCAGGACCTGCCTTTGATAAACCCATGCTGCCTGGGCATGATGCCCTGGTTGTCCTCTATGAGTGTCATGGCCCTTGAGATGATCTGCTCCACGCCTATTTTTAATCCACACTGACTTACTGCCTTCTCAGTCACCTACAACAGTGAATTCTTACAGCAAGAAAATACTTTCCCAGCCTCTGGCCTGAGGTTTGGTACTCAAACTTCCCCGTCTTGATCAGTGTAGCAACTAATGAAAAAAAAAATTAAAAAAAGCTCTTTTGGAAGACTGCTCTCCATTAGTTACCCTTTCTAGAAAGAGAGTAAAATTCCAGGTGAATGACACTGTAAATAGTTATGACACATCAGTTTTAGAGAGCTGTGAACACAGATAAAAATTTTTTTAAAATACATTTTTACTTCTACTTGTAATTGTAGACACCTACTTATTTAAATTCCAGAGAGGAAAAAGTTTTGGAGAAAGGAAAAAGTGGCTATATATATATATATATGTCATTATCATTTACATATTCATATAAGCACCTATTTGCATGTGAAAGTAGTACTGTTTATTCCCTTTCTGGGAGTTCCTCAGTCAGAAGACGGTTAAAAGTTCAGTGTAATACAGATGACACCATGTGAATTTTGCAATAATTTATGCAAAACAATACCATATATTTTCACTAAAAATAAAATAGCAAGGTCACTGGCTTAAATATTACCATAAAACAGAAAAGGGGATTGGCTATGCAGATTTGAAAGAAGAAAATAGAAAGTTATCTGGCTTTTAAGTGTACATTCTTCTGGTCATTTAATAGGTTGAAGGAAAATCCTCTAAAACTATAACTGGTAATTCTAAAGTTCTGTAGTTGTGATCTCTGCTTGAGGAAAGCTTCTATTAACTTTAATAGAAATTTCTAAGGAATAGAAATAGCAAAGTTTATCCTCCTTTGTAGTGTATACTGTGGCTTTTTCAAACACAACGAGTGTGCAAGTGACTAAGTTAAAAATTGAGTTCACATTTTCTGTTACTGTCTTTTCTCTTTTTGTTGGAATACTCTGAAGCTTACCTTGCAAAGAAAGTTCGGCTTGACCTACCCAGGATCACAGAGTCATGGAATAGTTTGGGTTGGAAAGGACCTTTAAAGATCATTCAGTCCAAACACTCTGACATAGTCAAGGACATCTTCCACTAGATCATGTTGCTTAAAGCCATGTCCAACCTGATCTTGAACACTTCTGAAGATGGGACATCTAAACTTCTCTGGTCAACTTGTTCCCATGTCTTCCCAACTTCATCACAAAAAAAAATTCATCCTTTTATCCATTCTAAATCTATCCTCTCTCAGTTTAGAAACAGTTGCCCCTTGTGCTGTTACATATTTTTACAATATGTTTCTCTTTCTTTTTTATGAGCCCTTTTTAAATACTGAAAGGC